GGGAGAAGCTAAATGGACTTATCTATGGTTTAGAAAAAAACAAGTTTAAGCAGAGCTAATTAATGAAAGATGGAAGATGGGTAGAAATCTCACCTTGAGAACTACATTTTTACATTCCACTCCGCTTTCATTGTGGAGGTTGATGTGACAGAGGAAGGTTTCTCCAAGAAAAAGGATTCTAAAATTGTAAACAAAGGACTTGAAATATTCAGGTAGTAGTTTTGTACTAAACGCCAATTGCTGTTGAGATGATAAAAAGAAGCCGGAAATTTGAAGATGATATGTTACACGGACAAGTGTTTTTCGATCGAGATTTCACACCATCTTTGGAACTGACATACAGAAAATAAATATAATTGAAAAACTACTGTGGAAATAGGAAATGACTTCTCAGCAATAACGAACGAAAGCAAGCTAGAGAGGACGCGTATCTGATCTAGCCATTCAGAAATACCCCTATCAACTCAACTACCCACCAGTTCATTCACTCAATCACCTAATCCCATCTTTTAGAACGTATTCTTCGGTCTTACTACCCGTCCATTCGCCCATCCACACATCCGCTTATCAACATCATCATCCATTCCTATACATCTATATTTCACTCAGCCATCCATTTCTCTACCTGCTTCTCAGTACTCCTTCTAAACAAACAAAACGGGTTGATTCCGTTGATGCACTTCCAGTGGATTGTGCTGTTGCAAGCACGGCGTGATTGTGCAGCGAGGCACATTATGGCTCCGATAATTGAAACAATTCGCACGCAAGTGTATAACTACCGACTAATTCATTTGTAGCATACCATTTAGCCTTCAATGGACGAAAACTGACGTCCTTTGAAGCGCTAATCGTTGTTAGGGAGGTTGAGAATTGATACACTGGGTCAACTTCATCTTTGCTTTTAAGCGTTGCACCAACTTTCGGCTCAGCATACATTTCCTGTAAGATAGTTTGTTTTTCGAGATTACCATTATCGAAACAGTCGTTTTTATATGTAAAAACACACGACAAAGCGCTGCTACTTAAACTCTTCTGCCAACAGTGCCTTAGTAGGCTTTCTTCTCTTCTTCTGTTTGTGAGCGCACCCACTTGAACTTCTAGTGCTGTAAACCTGTTGCATCGGCGTGCTCCTTGCAAACCACTTGGACCCAATGCAAGACAATCCTGTGAGACCTCCTTTCGTCCCTATACCAACAAACCAAGCACACATAGCGGTAGAGGCGAATTCGCTCTGTCGACA